GGATACCTTCAAAGTCATAGAAAGGTTGGAAACGCTTTTCAAAGAATATAAGAACCCTAAACTAACTTTCTATGCCCACCTTGCAGATATCAATCTGGTTTCACGCCACCAAGGGACATTCCCTTCGAGGATCTGTCCAAGTGCGATCCGGATTCCGTGCAGGACTCGCACTACAGCAACTCGACGTCGAACCACCTGACCATTAGAGGCACGATGAGTGCCAACAAACTGAAGAAACGCGTGGGCATTTTTAACATATTCGGCAGCAACAAGGTGAGGCAGTCCGTGGCCAATTCCAGGGGCTTAACTTTGGGATAGCTCCGTGGGTTTTAGACTCGATGCCACTGCCTGACTATCTCTATTGTCCAGAGTTTTCAGTTCGCCACACTTGTCCGTTCCATTCTGTGCACTAGCCCCTTGAGTTGAGACGCTTCTTGATTAGTTCCTAAGTTCGATGTTCTATTGATAAGTCGTAGGTCTTGGTTATGGTTTGTGTCTTTTTATGGTTTACTCATCCAGTCTTCTCTCTTTTCCGTTCTATTTCTATATTAATTTGATCGAATCTCGATTACCATATCTTTATTTCACTTGGACATGGTTCTGTCTCTTGCCGTAAGTACCAAGTGTCCAAAGTCCCCAATTCGTGTGCTCTCCATTAATACTCCACTACCAGATCGGCATTTCCATATATACATACATATGTACATCGCCTCATCCCTCGAATTGCTTATGAATTGCCATGTTTTGTGTCTGTCTCATTTACTAATACTTTGTGCTTTGAGTTCGCCCTTCACCGACTGCAACGTTATCCCAAAATCCAAAGCTTCTTCTATAACTCACGAATATTAATTGATTAACTCTTGATTTCTACTTTTGTACACATATTTGTTGCTGCCATTCGATTTTAAAATGATTAAATGCTTAAAATCACACGAACACACAACATCACACAACCGAACAAACATGTGATACAATTTCAAAAAATGTAAACCTACAAAATAAATACTAAATCAATTCGCTGCCAATAGCAACGGCAGATAATTGAAGCCTGTATCACCATGAAGGTATGATGAATCTTTCAGCTTTCTCCCAACTAAATAACTAACAATAACTAAGTCTAGCCTAAACTAGCCCCTTACGATTAATATTAATAACACCACTATCTCGCTATCTACTAATCACAATCAGCTAAATAAGAATCTAACCATCACTAGCATATCGTTTCCATTAACAATAATTAATAGTCTGAGCAACTTTCACTTTAAACGCCTGAACGCAAATGATCGGCATATTCTTGGCTTGATTAAACATGGTCAAGTTCTAAAATGAACACCACCAATTATCCTCAAATAGTTAAGCCTTTAAAATTAACCAGTAAATTGTTGGCCAACTAGCTGAAAGTCACAGCAGCAAACGTACACATTATTTATTTATTATTAAACTTTATTATTGTTTTCTTGCTGTTCTTTATGTACCATTAGCTGGCACATCCAACTGCATGATTGAATGCCTTTATCTAACGCCTTATTTTCCCTTTCGTTCCATTTCCATAATTTTTCTTTATGATACCAATTATAGCCTGTTGACGTCGAAACTGGTTTGATTTATGTCGAAAGCGGGGCATTGGATTATCAAAAAATCTGCATTTATTGTTTTGCTGTGTTCATATTTTTATCTGATGTTTCAGTTTCCTCTGTTGATTGTACTGATTCTAATCACTGCGTGCAACTCTTGTTGTGTCTTGTGAATGTCTTGTCTTTTTAGTCCTGATTTGTACTTTATTATTCATTGCATTGGCCTATAGCGATATCATGAGACATGTTTGTAATTCATTCAACTAACCAAGCTGTAATTGCCATAGAATTCCCTAACGGCGGATGGACAAAAGGAGGACTTCAGCGATCTGCCACCTAACCAACGAAGAAAGAAACTGCAGGCGAAGATCGCCGAACTGACACAAAACATCGCCCAGGAAACAAAAGCACGGGATGGCCTGATGAAGATGAAGATCGTCTATGAGGCGAATTCTTCGCTGGGCAATCCCATGACCGTCGAGGGACAACTGAACGAGTCGGAACACAAGTTGGAGAAGCTGAAAGTGGATCTGAAGAAGTACCAGGGCTTCTTGGAGAAGGCCAGCCAAGTGCCGACGGCCACCAGTAGTCCGCAGGCGACTCGAAATCAATTGCAGAACGGTCATCGAACCTCTAGGTGAGTTAACATCAATTTGAACCAGTACCACTAGTAATCTAATAAATGCATACTCCATTTTAGACATTCCAATGGCAGTGCCGATGACCATCATGATGATGGCGACGACCAGCCCGATGATGCTGGCAGCTTAAGCAGGTCAGATTCTGAGGATAATGTGGCGCAAATACAAAATGGGCATAATAATAACAATAACGGGTACACTCATAAGTCTATGTTCAATGTTTATATATTTATCTATATATTTCACCCTCACACATACTCGTACATACATTATCGTAGCATTATGATTTGGCATCGCATATCTAATCTGTATTACTTAATTTGATCATAATATCACTGCACTCTTCACGGTGTGTGGCATTTTCTTCGGTGTTGGTTCCTTACTCATATACATATAAAAGCATATAAACTAGCAACACAGCCCAGAAAGTCCACAATAAGCCAAAGATATAAGAAAAATTTAAATACCAATTTGCGCATACTTCTAATTTGTAGTAATTCTTGATTCTTTATTGCTCTACACCAAACATGATGACACTTAATAATGTGAAAATTGCAACTTCTTCAAATATTTCGTTTCATTTTGCCTTTTCCATGGTGAAATCCAGCAGTTCGGCAAGTCCCGAGAGTGGCCTGGGCACTTCGCACACATCCCTGCCAGGGTCGGGACAAGGCAGCGCCAACGAAAATGCGATTGGAGAGGATACCTACTATGAAACGGAAGTGGAGACCCTTAATCCAGTGGGAAAATGTCGAGCCCTCTATCCATTTGAAGGTGAGTAGTGGAAAATATGCTTGCATATTTTTTTTGATAGCATCTAATACATGCTGATTTGAATCCCCTGTAGCCTCCAGCGAGGGAAGCATACCCATGAGTGAGGGCGAGGAACTGCAAGTGATCGAGATCGACCAAGGAGATGGATGGACGCGGGTGCGGCGGGAGAACAACTCCAATGGCTGGGACGAGGGCTTTGTGCCCACGAGTTACATTGAGTGCACGCTCTATGCTTAGGATTAAGTTCATTTTCGGGGCGGGCAATCAGCCGGGCGGTTTTAAATGTTACCTACTCAGCAAACCCTTGCGTATGATCGATTGATTTGTGTACTTTTGTCATAACTTTGCGTTCTGTCGGACAGCCATACCACACAAAAAACATATGAAACAACACACCTAACTTTCACACAACACTGTACATTTGACCTAAGCTAAGTTCGATTCATTTACCATTCGTATGCTTTGTATATTTACACTGATTTTAAACGTCATTGATCTTATGGTAGTGCAAGCTATATCATACTATAAATACTATAGTCATATGCACCTACGAGCAGACCTCACCTAATTGTAAGCACCGCAACGTTTCCCTCTTCACCACAACAATCATGATAACACCTATTTATATACATATATGGAAAAAGATTTATATGACACTTGAATACGTGAGAGCATGAAAAGAAAACTTAAACTGACACTACGGCCGTTGGACATTAAAAGTAATCTTGTGAACACGTTCTCACGTGCAATCCATTTGGCAATGTGTTGATAATACTTACTTTTGCTCGGTTCTCGGCTTTGGCCTTAGGAGCACCTGTCACCTTTCCCGCAGACCAATTGGAAAAGCGGCAGAGTGCAATTTCCTCAAATTTAAGCACTAAAACTTTGGTAAATATGCAAAGATTAAGTGAGCGGACATCGATCACATCCCATATACCCCATATACACACTCGGGACTAAAGGATATGTGGACAAAAGTTATGGCAATCCTGTATGACATGCGACATATGCAATTGCGGAAGCAAAAGAACGCGCTAGCTTGTTTTATATAAATAGCAACAATTGTACATTTTACTTTAAACCACTCTATGCATAATTCGTAATCTTAATTTGATGATAATTTTGTATTGCTCTTGGCCTTGTACATTTTCACACACTATGTTTAATGGGACGCGAGAAGCGCATTGATGCCGAAATAATGCATCTGCTTAGTTATGTTTTAGGAACCCCTATACCATTAAGTTCACAATATTAAGGCTTAAGTCAAAGCAAAGCCGGGCGGCAACGACGCCACTTTGCAATACATTTATTTATACTTTAATATGATATACCGCTGTATATTGGTAAACCACAATCAAAAACTTGAAACGGATAAACTGAGTCTGCGGATAAAGTCCAGGCGGAGCGAGATAGGTCTTTAGTTAGATATTCAGCAGCCTTCACCATCTGTATTTTGTACTTTCATTTCGCATATATATGCTACCATGCTTTAGCATTTAAGTGTGCAAACAACTGAAACTGATGAATTCTGTTTTTCTTACGTTTAATTACACGATGTAAACGAATGACGATGAACTAATCTTAGTGCGAACGCAGAAAATAAATAATTCCAAAATTCTTAAATTTATCTAATTTTAAATTCGAACCGAAAACAGGCACATACGTATTACGCTATAATGTTTACAACATCAAATGGAATGAGAGTAATTGAATTTAAGTGACGGACTACGGCAAATGTATGTGAGAATTGTCGGCTTAATAAAAGTAACTACAATTAAATGAATCCTTTTGCAAATTGATGTTTTTTAAATTGAAACTGATGGTTGGGGTGGAATTCAGGATTTACTTTACTTTAAAAGTAATTGACTAAAAGCACGGTTTATATTAAATTTTATTTTATTTCAGATTAGGCCACTTAAAAATTAAAATTTTTGAAGAAAATTTTTCTTTCAATATTTTCAATTTTAAAGTGACCACACCTTCTAATTTCTGATCTACCAATTTTAGTAGATTGTTGACTGCGCGGCATTATTGGCATTGAATTTACGGTCTCTCTTATTTAATCAGCCGGTAAAGCAAAATAAGTTTTATTTCATGGAACCCGCTGCAAAGAAATCGAAAATGGGCAAAAACCACAAGTTCAATAACAATAAGAAGAAGTATTTCCACGCCAAGAAGCAGGTGCTCCAAGCTGGCCAACGTGGATTCTTTGCCACGTGCAACATCAACGAGAAGGCATGTGTTCGCGAATGCTACAATTTGTTAAACCACTATGCGGATATACTTTACGGTTCTGAAAAGCCAGAGAATGAGCCGGAAAAGAAGCAGCCAGAGGATGATGGGAAGCCGGCGGCTGGAGGTGTCAGTGATGACGACGACGACGACTTGGAAGTAGCTGCCGCCAAATGCCGTGAGAATTTCTCACAGCGCAAGGTACGATTCCAGAATGTTGACACCAACACCACCAACTGCGTGTTCATCCGCACCCAACTAGAGGATCCGGTGGCGCTAGGTAAACACATCATCAACGACATAGCGACCACCGGCAAGTCAATGTCACGATTTCTCCTCCGCCTGGTGCCCATCGAAGCCGTCTGCCGCGCCAATATGCCGGACATCATCTCTGCCGCCGGCGTGCTCTTCGATAAGCACTTCCTCAAGGAACCCACCAGCTATGGCATCATTTTCAATCATCGCTACAATCAGCAGATCAAGCGGGACCAAATCATCACCCAACTGGCCGAGCTGGTCAACTCCAAGAACGTGGCTAACAAGGTGGACCTGAAGGAGGCCAAGAAATCCATCATCGTGGAAGTCTTGAGGGGCTGGTGCCTGCTTAGCGTGATCGACAACTATCTGGAGTGCAAAAAGTTCAATCTGGCCGAGTTGGCCAATCCCAGTGATAAGAAATCTGCCGGCGAAGGGGATTCCAAATCGGAGTCTTCAGAGGTCTCCAGGAACAACAACGAGGAGCCACCTGAGTCTTCAGAAGAGTCCAAGTCTAATGAAGATTAGTCAAGTGGGAACGAGGATACCAAAAAAAAGTGCTCATAGGACTCTACTGAGAATGACAAAAGGTATCACCAACTTGCCCAATAAATGGTATGAAGTTAAAGATGGACCATCTGCTGTGCAGACGAATATAAATAAAACAACCAGCTATTATTTACTCTTGTAACTATTTATTCTTTACTTTTATCCATTGACGCTTAGCTGCTAAACTTTGGAGAGCTTGTGTGCTGGCCATATCCTATGTCAGAATGTGTAATGTAAGGTAATTGAGTAAAACTACTTGTAGACTAGAGCCTCTTTTCAGTTGCGCTTGAGCAGCATGACCACGGTGCCGGCTATCTTTTCGTAGGCCATGAACATCAGGGCGGCTGTGAGCACGGTTTGCAGAATCTTGGCCTCCAGACCGCGGAACAGTCCACGGATGCCCTGGTGCTGCAGTATGCTTATCATCAGCTCAAGTGTGCTCTCAGTGCGGGGCTTGGATCCCGTCGAGGTGGATGGTTTCGAGTCCGACTCCTTGCTGCGATGACGCTGCTTGGTCTGGACCAATTGCAGAGGATAGGTCAGCACCGTGGCGAAGGCCTTGGCAATGGCGCCAATAAAGAAGAAACTCAGACTGCCCATCTCACCGCCGGTGAAGCGCATAATGTTGCGCTTAAGCATCTCGTACATCATGAACTGCAGGGCGGGATTAGAGACCAGCATCAGAGAGGGGATGGTGCCCGACCACAGACCGGCGATGCCCTCCTTCTGAGCCACGTACTTGAGACCTTCCAGCAGGTTCTTGTAGTGCTTGTTCACCTCGTCCGAGGTTCCGGCCACGTTGCGCATGCGCAGTCGCGTATTGACCACCCAAAATGGTGTGGTGGTGAGCACATTGATGATGCCGGCAATGCTGCCCAGCAGCAGATCCTTGAGAGCGCTGTGCTGGGATGGCGAGCCTCCCGATGCCACCGCCTTGAGGGCATGGAATGTGTAGAAGTATACAAAGTTCGAAATGCACAGGCTCTGCAGGACAGGGCCAAGACCACGGTACAGGGACTGGAATCCCTCGCCCAGCACTATCTCCTTGATCACCTGCCTGGTACTCCGCACCTCGCCGGCTTCCTCCACTGCAAAGATTCATTGGAGCAAACAATAGCTTTTAAGCTGGAGATTCTGAAACCAAGAATATTTCAGGTATGTCTGGTTTAAGCGCTAATTTAATTTGTCACGAACATTACGAGTCAGCGATATCAACCCAACCCTGAACCCTATTATGATAATTATCCAATTTCTAGTATTAACTCTGACAGCACTCTAGTCGTATATGCAAGCATTTTCGGTAAATATTGGCTAAAATTGTCATTAAAAAATACATCAAGCATCACCTCACAAAAACCTTTTCTTTATGAACGGTTACATATTCTTGATGATTTTTGTAAAAAGTTTTAAATTCTCAAATGTATACTTAATTTTACGACACAAAGTCCAATGGCTTTATACAATTGCAACATTTATGCATTCGTATAATATAAACTGTTCGTGTACTTGAGGTAATAAAGTGAACCCTCGATATCATCACATAGGTATATTTCGTTCACTTCATTTCAAATGAATTCTGTTATTCAAAATATTCTATATAATTTGAAATCTATTCATCTATATCATTTCTTTAGTTTTGCTTTAAAAATAAACCTAATTATTCGCTATCCTATCCAGAAATATAATATACACAATTTTGTCTAGCCACATGAACTAGACGCTATCGAATTCTATCTATAAGCAGAACCTAAAATTGGATTAGCCCGGACAATTGATTAAAAGGGCTCTTTAACATATCATCCATAGAAAGTTTCAAACGGTGGAATTTGAACTCGCCCGCAGATCCATAGGTGTGCTTATAGGAATTATCAAAGCGTGGCCCGCTTATCGGGTTCCCACTGCAGATTAGTTATACTTCGATTGTCAAATCCGTGGGGGCACTTACGTTGCAGGCGGGAACGCACCGTGTCCAGTGGATAGAAGGTGCTCATGGCAATGCAGCCGCCCTGTGAAGAGTTGACCAAATGCAAATTAGCACCGGCACCAACTTGACCTTTAGCCGGCAAATATTTGCCCACTCACCGCAGCTCCGGATACGGCATGCACGAAGTTCTGGTAGCTAAGCACCTGGCTGAGTTTCGAGGGGGCCACCATTCTGCTGTTTGTTCGTCGGACTGTGAGATCTCTAGACTGGGGACTGGAACGTCCGGCGGCGTCTTCGGGCGAGTGTTTACTGATTGACGACGACCCGATCCGCCGGTTGTTGAAAATTTAGCTGCGGCAGCGCTGTTCGCCACGGTGTGTAGATTAGATTAATTTTATCTGAGGAGGCGGTGGCTTTATTGTGCCTCCTGGATCACAGCGACTTTGTAAATGAATCACTCACATATTCACAATGTCTTTATAGAATTCATATTCATTCACACAGTATGACCAATGTTTAAAGGCGCGAAATATACCATCTAGCTGGAGAAATATACTAAAATATATATATATTACATTATACCAAATAGACCGTTAACAACGATAGTAAAATCTTAATTTAAACGATTTTATGGAAATATATAGAATTTCTAAGCATTATCTTCGCACATACCAAATTTCATATCAATCGGACAGAGATTGTGTAAAAATACCTACAATCAAACAGTACTAGTCGCATATACTGCTTTTATTCAAACAAATATAAATTTAATTTACTTTTATTCACTCCTATTACCTAACTTAACAGTCTAACTTTCGAAATGTACATTTAAGGTGTGTCCTAGCGTAAAAGAAGAAACGATCAAAGCAGCTGATCTATTAGACACTTGTCTCTCCGCGGCTCCATCCTTGGTTTCTTCATGAAGTTTACCCCCGTTTCAGTGCTGCTGTTCAGTAAATCGGCTGCTTTTCTCTTCCGATTCTGAAATTCAACTCATTTGGTTTAGAAGGAATTATATTCAAAATATCGTAGTTAGTCCCCACCTCATGTTCCTCTTCCGTTAGCGTGGCGAAAACAAAGTTTTTGGCCTTCGCTGACTTCACAGAAATAGAGCCCTCCGCTCCGTCCACATCGACGGAGCTTCCTTTTGTGAGTCCTGCCAGTTTGGTGAGCGTCTGCTGGTCTCGAACTAGAAAGGAGCCGCGAGCTGCGCTCTTCTGCTGTTTGCCAGCTATTGTTTTTGAGATCAGGAACGGAGAACTCTTCTTCACCTCCACAGTTGTCTTCTTAGAGGAAATTATGTTCAGCCGGCGAATGGAATTACCAGTGTTACTGGTGTTTATCACGGAAGTGGAGAGCGGTGAAGCCACTTCCTGAAACACAAATATGATTTAGAGAAAAACACAAAGAAAATAAACGAATTTTCGCACCGGTTTTAGACCCTTCTCTAAGAGAAGCTGTTCGCGTTCATAGCGGATTTTTCGCCACAGATGCTCGTTCTCCTCATCGCCACTGCCGTCGTTCCCTTCACCATTATCAGGTCGATTATCGTCTAGACTGAAACCGGCTTCCACGTTTTTCCAACGGAATTGGCGCTGGCGGTTCGCTCCCTCCTCTTCCTCTTCGAAGAGCAACTCCTTGATCTTGCGCACTTCCCGGATATCCTGATCCATCATTTTACGTCTATCATAAATGTAAAATGTTTAACAAGTTTAAGAAGTGGAGCTTTTATTTATACTTACGCATGTATCTGACCAAGCTCGTGCCGCAGTTTTTCACGATCAAACTGATCGTCGTCGCCCAACTCAATGTCGTACTGATCCATGTTCTTCTCGTCCTCGTCGGCAGATCCCCATTCGGATTCAGACAACTCAGCTTCTTTGTCCACAAAGTTGGCGGCTCGTAGTTTACGATCCTTCTTGGTCATCTCCACAACAATTTCATTTTCCTCCGAATCGTAGTCTACAAAGGTTTCCGGAATATCCTCCACTGGCTCTCCGTCACTTTCCTCCTCGAATTCCTCAACTGCACCATCGCTGTCTTCATCATCCGAGAAGCCCAATTTGCCCTTTTTCTTTGGCCTTTTCTTGGTGAGTTTTTTGTTTCTTGGCTTATCAACTTCCAAGACATCCTCCTGTACTTCTTCGTCGCTGGATACTATTCTGTTGGCCACTGCTGCCGATTCTAGGGATTCTTCATGTGGCTCTGGCTGTTGAGTAGGTGCTTGCGATGGCAACTGGGTGGCAAAGGTACCTGAACACAGACCCTCCAGTTCATCTGCTGCCTGGCTGCTGCCGGCAAACTGTGTCATGGGAATCTGACTAATAACCGCTGTATCAACTGAAGGAGCGGCGGAGGAGACTATCTGGGTCTGCGGAAACTGACCAGAACACAGATCAAGAAGTTCATTCTCCTCATCGCTGGCCGTGCGTCGGGTCTCCGCATCGAAAAGCTTGTGGGCGGATAATTGCAATTGAGTCGCTGTCATGGGAGTAACATTGCTTGGCTTCGGAGTTTGCAGGAGGTCGAGATCATCTTCATCGGAGTTGTCATCCTCGAAGGCTTTAATGATGCGGTTCTTTTTCCTGGTTTGCGTTTCTGGCTCTGGGTCGGGTTCACATTCCTGTTCACTTCCACTGCCATTTTCCTCATCTGCTAGATCTTCAACTGGATCGGTTTCGAGATCTTCGTCGGCATCGATTTTGTTTTCTTCAGCATCGTCATCGTCCTCAGCAGTGCTATCACCTTTATCTATGATTTCCTCATCTTCATTTATAGTTACTTCTGCATAAGCAGGTTTATCTTCCGGTTCGTACTCATCATCCACATCCATGCCTTCCTCCTCCTCTTCTGCAATTTTCTCCTGTTCTTCAGCCTGCTTTTTGCGCAGGTCCTCCATGCGTTTCCTAGTGATCAGAGTTTTGAGATGCTCCTGCATTTTGATGTAACCCGCTCCTGGCTTTGGTTCTTTTGCGAATTCCTCTTCGTGCAGGTGAATGCTCACCTTGGACATCTCCAGCTTGCCATGTTCAGTGCTTAGGATGCTAAAAACAAGTACCAAAGTTATCGGGCTGAAGAAGATGATAAAGCGTATTACATACTTAACAGTCTCTGTGGTCTTGTGCTTCTTAGCTTCCCGCGTTTTCATCAGACGGTTTAGCAGATCATCAACACCTGTTGGTTTTTTGGCGAACATATCACCTGTTTCCAAATCGATAACCATGTTGGGATCGCCTTTCAGCGAAGGGCTCTCATCAGAGCTTTTCTCAATCTTCAGCCGGCGAATAGCTTCGCTGATCTTAGGAGTGGCTGGCTTAGAGGGCGGTGTTATGTTTATAGTGCTCAAGTCCAGCTTGGGCAGTTCCACCACTTCTGTAATCAGACAGACTTTGCTCGGAGATTTCGCGTTAATCTCTTGCTGAATTTCAAAATCAGTGAATTTCAGTGCATCTGCAGAAGCTGTGGATGCAATGGGTTCTTCTTCGGTAATAGAATCTGTCACCATTGCCTCTTCCCCAACGGGATCATCTGGTAGGGCTTCACCCAAGGCGGATTCCGCAATAACGACTTGGCTCGTCAAGTCCTCTGTGTCGTTCTTGGGCTGCTCTGGAGTTTTTGGATTATCCAGCATCTCATCCAAAACACCTGGATTATCTTTTAACTCCATAGGCTCTTCGTTGTCGGAATCATCCTCCTCATCTGACTCTGATTCAGACTTGAAGAACTCGGTAGCTTCCTTGGCGCGGTCCTCCATAAGTTTCCTAAAAAGTTAAGTACGTTAAATCGGTCTATTAAAGACTCATGCAGCTTACGCATATGCCTCCAAATCCTCCCTGGTCATCCGCAGTCCCACCGACTTCCTTGGCTGCCTGCTGGGCATGGGACTGCCTCCAGCCAGAGCCGTGGCCAGAGGAGTGTTGACGGTTCGTCGGTTAAGAAACTCCTTCAGTGTCCTCGGTTTCGGCTGGTGATAGGGCACATTAATGTGCGCCTCGCGATGCAAACGCTGCTGTTCACTTTGGATGGCCTGCATCCCCATCAGCGCTTTCTTAGCTGATTCCTATTTATATGAACGTATGTATTAAGCTATTTATGGAGTTCCTGTTAATTAAAAAACTCACTCGAACAACTTTGGGCTTCTTAGGTTTCTCTTTGGAGTCTGTGCTTCCTCTGGGCGCTTCCTGTTCTCCTGCATATTCATCTGGATTGTCTAGCTCTGGTTCCGAATCCGAGTCTATCAATCCATTGAGTTTGTTTTTGACGGGACTCACTTCTGCAGCAGTTTCTTCCGGCTCAGACTCGGAGTCCACCAATCCCTTCAATTTGTTTTTGGGTGAACTGGTTCCTTCCTCGCTGTGGGCCTTCGGGATTTCATCCTCGCTGTCACTGTCCATTCGTTGATTCTTTTTCTTCGCCTTTTTGGGAGGTTCCTGCATAACCTGGTCTTCCATATCGCTGCCTATTTTGAGATCTTGCTTTCCGCCCTCTTCATCCTGATTCTCCTCTGACTCGTCATCGCTCAGAATCTTTTGTTTGCTTTTCGTTGCAATCTTTTTCGGCTCAACTATCTGCTCCTTATCCGCGATATTGTCTATATTATCCAATTTATTTTTCTTGTTTTTCTTGGGTGGCTTCTTTTGCTCCAGGTCTTTCTGGTCTGTGACCTCCTCCGATCCCTCACTGACCAACTTTTTATTATTTTTCTTGGCTGATTTTTTTGACTTGTGATCTTCTTTTTGATCAATTTTGAAGTCTTCCACTTCCATTGGGAAATCCTCCTCTTTGTTTATTTGGGAATCCTTTTTAGTTTTGCCGGACTTTTTTGCCTTTGTTTTCGAGGAAGATTTCGAATTCTCCTTTTCAGTGACATTGTCCTCCTTATCATTCTCTTGTTGCTTCTGTTTCCTGGCCATCTTTTTGGACTGTTGTGTTCCAGCAGGTGTCTTATGCTGTTGATGGCCGTCGACATTTTCGTCTGCTTCGGTTTTATGTTCTTTAGCCAACTGTTTCTTATTTTTTAATCCTTTTTTTGGTTTATCCTCCTTGGAGGAGCTGTCCTCCACCTTGTCTGTTTGGGCCTCTTTCTTATTCTTTCCCGCCTTCTTTATCTTATTGGTTTTTGCAGGTTTCTCCTGCTCCTCCTGGTCGTCATCCACCTGGGATCTCTTTTTGTTGCTCTTCTTGGCGGGTGGCTTCTTCTCCTGCTTGCCCAGCTGCTGCTCTTCATCATTATCCGAGTCTATGATGCCGGATACCTTCGTTTTCGGCCTAGAAACCACCTCCTCCTTCACTTCTTCGTTGTTCCTTGGGGAATCATCATTTCCCTGCTCCATTGCGCCCTCCTCCTGATCACTGTCCAGGATCCTTCGGCGCCTGGCCTTGGGTGAGATCTTTCTGTGCTTTTCCTGGGATCCATCTTCGTTTTCGCTGTCATCCGACATCATCAAACTCTTGCCACCCAATAAATCTTCGCCGGAGACCATCTGCTCGTCTTCCTCGTCGAACTCCAGCTTTTCCATCGAGTCGTCGGCCTGGTCTTCATTTTCCGCTGCAGCTGCAGTTTCTGCAAGCGATTCGCTCATATTTCTGGGTCACTTGTTCTTTGTTAATAATAATAAGAAACCAAAAACATTTGGAGTTGAACACGCACACAATCGCACGCAGTTCGATTTTTGGCGCAAAGAGTGTTGAAAGTGCGGGATCAATCAGCTGACGCAGGCAGTGCTGTAAAGTTTACTAAATAAACATTTGTGTAAAATGAAGTAAAGAAAATGTGTCAAATGAATGTATAAATAGACCGTTACTTGTAGAAATATTAAAAAATAATTTCATTCAATATTCTAAATGCTATGTTTAGGAAATTCAACAAAGCCATTTATTTCTTTGTCTACAACATAAATGAGTGCGTATTCATTTCATATTTTATAAAGTTTTATTATATATATGTATAAATTAGAATATAAATTACCTAAAAAATATAAAATTTTATTTTGTATTAAGGGCTTTGTGGAAATAAGTAAATTATCTATATACATTTTAAACACTTCCTTTTATATACTCAAAGTTAACGGCCACATTTTATTCATTTGGAACCTCTTAAATAGCTCTAAATAAACTTAGTTTCTCGACGAGCTAAAACCTATAAAATATACATGATTATTCAAAAGCAAATCAAACAGCGTGAACAAATCTCGGACAGCAACTTAATCAGCAGGCTGCAACCTCTCAGCAGTACTGCCAATCGAAAGTAATCACCCAGCGGATTTGCATAGTCTCAGAAAAAAAGCAGACAAATGGAAAAAATCCAGGTGGGTATGCAAGTAAGTTCACCTGTTCTTGTGGTTGTTGCCGCTCTTGTATGTTCGCGAATTGTTGCAGTTCGTTTGATTTTGGTACGATGTCGATGTTGCTACTTGCTGCGATGCTTTCTCCGCATCTCTTAGTGGCTCTGAGGCATTTCTCTTTCACAGTTTCGTGGTTGAAAAGGCAAAAAGCTGAAAAGATCTTTCGACCGAGGGTCATTAAGTAACCCTAAGCCGAGGAGAGTTGCCTAATGGTATACCCTTGCCCCGATATATATAGCATTAAAATGCAATTAATAATGCTGAAAAACGCATCCAAACCGCAACCATTACCCTCGCTTCAGTGCCTAATATTCAATTAACTTGGCTTCCAATTAAAGCAAAGGGCAGAAAAGCCCTAAAAGCGAAACCGAACCGTTTAATGGGTGTTAAATTCCACAGACTTTTCACTTAATATGTGTATTCTGAGATCACACTAGGTCAAAACATGAATGATTAATGCATTAAGGCATTTGTAAGCCTTCGATTTTGAAGGGGACAAATGTTTCACCTTGCCGAATTGCGCAACGATTAACAATCCCACACAACAATGACATATGTTATCCAACGTTAGAAATATCGAAAGAAAGCATCCATATTTTACGAATCTTATGCTTTCTGCTATGCCAAATGTATAATATATTCGCATATGGATCACAGCGTGGGCTTAATTAGTCGTTACATTAGCATAACTTAGTAAATATTCGGATACTCTTTTGGACGAGAATCCTTCCAAATTCTCACATTCACTTGGAAATTATCAAAAATATTTATTTCTAAAATAATGTGGTCTTTTCATCTTATCAATAGAACTACAAGCTTTTGAAGATGTCGATGCAAGTATATATTACCAATAAGTGGTTTTATAGCCACAAAAACCTTAGGTAATGTTTGCCCCTTTCCAGCAGCCTGATTAAATCATAATGGTCTTTCCGACGACTTATGAGCTAGGCATTTATAGCTTTAAGCTTCAGCTAGCGCACCAATTAGCATACTATATATATATATAAAAAAAAACAAATCTTGGTGCCGTCGCACACAATTTCTCTTTCATTTGGCAAAAACAGAAAAGAAAAAAGTAGAAACGGTTAACTGTGTGTATCTTTCAGGCATCTTTTTTCATATCTGTAGCAGAGATTTTGCTTTTGGCCACTTACGGTATTTCTGCGCCTCGTTGTCGCTACCTAATTTGCATACGCACAGTTCACAGATACCATCGAAAACTGAAAAATCACAACTGGGCCCATGAGATGAAAGTGAAAACACTCCAGTGTGTGCTAAATGCAGAGTCTAATCGAAAGATACACATAATTTCCAACTGTCCACAATCAATATTTATCTTCGCCTCGCAATCTCTCGGAATTCGAAATGGGATTTCGATCAAAGCAAACAAACAGACATTGTATACCCCATTTCTTTAGAAAACTATTTTTTTAAGGCGATCTTTTCTTTTTGGCAAGACTAAGTGGCTTATGCAATCGCGCGGACTTAAGACCCTTCACCGCCTTCAACTGCAGTTTAAAGTTGAGATTATGGGGCTTATGCAGCCACTCTGTCTTTCGCAATTAAAAGCAAATCGTCCACGGAGGATCGCATAAAAAATCGGCTCAGATCGGCTTGTAACGCTACATGTTTGCATATTCGTATATATCTTTTTGCTGTTCCTGGGACCCAGACACGCCTTTGGCTGTCTGCGTCTGGCTTTTCGTTGCCCGATTGAGATTTCTTGCCGTTTTGCTATGCCATTTTTTTCTTAGTTGTGTGTTGTCTTTTTTTTGCGAGTGAAAGTGATATATGGCGCATGACTCAGGCTCCGTCCATGCTCGACTCCATCCGACTTCAAGCCGACCCCATCCCGGCCCAAGTCATATGCATAAAATAATAATTAAGCGCCATTTATGCAGCCCAAGTCGAAGAAATGGCTAAAAAGGGCGCAGCAGCCTTCGAGCGTGGACCGAAACCAAACTCAAAATCAATTGACATGTTTTGCGCACACTGAAAGAAAGTCGCAGCTCATTGTTTATATATTTTTATTCTCATAGACAACATTTGGGATATGATTTTGTTCAAAAATAAGAACAATTTAACATGATTTTTCATAATATTTTAGCCCGAAAGAGAAAAGGGTCCAAGGTAACTATTCCTCTCACTTTCCTGCCGATTAAAAAAAAATTGTTTGCCTATTCGAGGTATACCCATTCACATTATGCCTTATTCAATTGTTCTGGCCAAAACACTGATTAATTTATAACTTGGCGCACAGTTCATATCTGTAGCTATATACAAAAGGTTAATAAAATGATGATTGCCCTATGTACACCTGTAAGCTGCCCATCATCAAGTTGCCCTCTAAGACCCAGGTTCATTGTCTTTATAATTGTGATTTAGGGCTGTCGCCAGCCCAACGGAAAAGCCCCCAGCGGAGTGAGCAGTGAAAAACAGTGGAAAAAAGGCCAGTAAATTGTAGCCCAGCGACTGACAAAAGAAATGGAAAGTAAAAAGCGTGGCGATTCCATTGAGCTCGAGCTCGATGACCGGGCCCGGGGATGCAGCTGCGGCCGGAGTGGGACTTGCATAATGATTGACATGATTGTTTGGGCCGGGACATGGTCCACAATAATTTGTTTATAAACAATAAGCGCCCAGATTGTGCACCGTTATAACTGCACTGACTTAGCGGCACCCAAAAAGAAAGAAAAGGGGTGTTGTGCAATATGTGGTAGCAACTGGTTTTTATCTTCACAAAAATGAAACGAAATTAACTAAATGAAGCCGGGATTATTTTTGTTACTTTAGGAGGTGAAATGGATAAGAGAGGAAAGGTTCGACAGCTGGTAAGCTTGAAAATATTTAGACTGGTGGTTAAGCGTTGTAGCATCATATTTTTGTGGGTTTTTGTAACAGTTAAGTTCGGGCCTCATTAGACCATATTGTTTAAGAGTTCATTTCATACAAAAAACAAGATAGAATGCTATAGTCGAGTTCCTCGACCATCAGATACCCGTTACTCAGCGGATATCTCAACATAACTCAACTTAAAATAAGAATAGAACTTCGGCTTGGGACATTTTTAATTTTTTTGGATTTGTACATCTAAACATCAGAAAAATTAAAAAAAAAATAAAATTCTAAATTTGAATGCAGATTTTTAGAGAATTGCTCCAGAAACATTTAGAGGTATGCCACTTCAAAATCCGATTAATATAAGTTGAGTTATGGAAATTAACCCAGTTCATACGATAAACTCTGATTTAATTTTATTATGAAATATTTTCGACTTCTTCTGGCATTGCCTCACTTTCCCCAGAAAGATTGCATCATGACCGCGTTCTCCAGCCGAAAACCATTGCCTTTCCCAACTTCGCTCGACCTGAGCCTCAAAATAGGGGCCCAGAAGTTGCTCAATTCTCTAGAAACGAATGTAAGCCCAAAAGAAGCCACTGGATGAGGGCCTGCCCACGTACAAGTGCGTCAGCCGAGACGGAACGCTGTGCAATTAGCATGCCAGGCACGTCCCTGACCCAATTCCGAATTGGAAGCGTAACTGGGGGCGATAATGATACCAGCTCATGTGGCTGTGCCAGAGGATCTACGTCATGCAGCTGCGAGTGATTCACTCCGGGCGTGGAAATCCAAATCCGGGGCGTTGCCGTGCCCTGGCCGAGATCGATTTTAAATGAAATCGAAACCCGAAGGCAAAAGGCGGAACTTTCGATTTCTTTCGATGTCATCGCTTGGGCAGCCAAGGTGCGTACCTGTGGATATATATATTTAAATGAAAGTTCATAGCGATCGGCGATTACTTTCTTAGCTTTTGGGATCGGCTTGGGCCAATTGGCGGCCAACCATGTTGTATCTATCTCGGATTTTGGGCATTTCTACTTAATCACTTTTTTGGCTTGTGCCCGCTCGTTTCACTTGCCCGCTTGGAATTGGCATTTTTATGCCATTTCATCATCGGAAATTTGTGGAGTTGTCCAAAAGACACATCTCTTTTGTGCAAAATCGAGAGTGGCGGGCGACAAATTTACTTTTGCGTTTTGCACTTTGGCAAATTGATCAAATTGTTGCTAGGAAACTGGCACAAAGTTGTTTGCTTTTCTTTAGTTGCTTGAGTTGTGCAATGGGCAGATGAAATTACTAGCCCCAAGGCATTTGGAAATTGGGCTGAAATCATTAAATTAAGTATGGTGGAAACAACCTTAAATGACAAAAATTGGCACATTTTTCTGGTAGGAGTTTAATTTTGTAAAATTATGTTTTGAAAGAAGTTAAGACAAATGATTAGGTAGCTTTTAAAAAATTATTACTGCATTTAGGCAATTATGAGATATTTTTTCTTGAAAAACAGCAAATTCATCCATATTCCCAAAATTGAT